AGTAAAGCCCAATTCAGATGGGATTAGTTTTACCTGGGGACGTAATGTAATTGATGCAATTACCAGCGAGGTCTGTGATTTTAATCCAGTCTGAATCTGCCACATCTTTAATTATTACAAGTCTCCAGATAAATATTCAGTGACAAATTGCTTTCTGCATTCCACTGAACACGGACCTGTTTTGGTAATAGGAGTCCAGTGCATATTGTTGTCTTGATAATAAGGTCATATCTATAAAGATATGCCATTTTTTGTAAGGTGGAAACAGCATTCATCTGTTAAAGATGGAGCGCAATGGTTGCTGAGTTTTCTATATAAACATCTGACAACCTATACATGCAGTCTCTTCTGCATCAAGGTTTTCAGTAGGTACAGCACTACTGAGTACATCAATTTTTAAGCTACTGTATGGTTGGGAGGGAAAAGCTCTTTATTTGTTTGTTTGTTTACCTATTTTGTGTGTTTGATTAGTATGTATGTTGCAGAGATAGGTTACAGAAAAATGAAAATTCTGTTGTCATTTGCTTTCTAGACGTGCTACTTTGACATTAACGTCAATGGATATGATTTGTTTTATTTCTGCTATCTTTTGTATTTTGGGGAAAATGTACAAATAAACAAGCAAACAAACAAAGAAATAAATTCACACACACGCAACAACACTCCACAAACAATAGCCTGAGCTGTTTTGGACAATACCCTCCCCAAGATGTATCACGTTCCATCGCTTAAAGTGAAACCAGGCCAGGAAATCGCCATTTACAACATTTCTTACGACGGTAACACGTATGTGAAAAGCCTGAGCAGAGTTTTGTCATCCATCAATCATCACAAATAGTCGGACCAGGCAGCATACACACCATCCTCATACACACCATCCTCATACACACCACCCTCATACACACCATCCTCATACACACCATCCTCATACACACCACCCTCATACACACCATCCTCATACACACCATCCTCATACACACCATCCTCCCTCATACTGCCCAAGGGCAACTGAGTGGCTAGTAGCGACGCTATGGAACCACACCTTCTGTCCTTGGGTACAACAGAAAACTGTAAACAAAGAAAATCAACCTTTATATGTCTATATTCTCACGCCCGCTGGTTACTGTCCACAAGTGCCAGCTGCCTCACATCTCCAGCAATCGAGTAATCACTCCCCCATAATCACTTCCTGCATTCCTCTGGCCAATCCCCATCAGCCCCCTGATGCTCCCGCTCATATTTTCCCTTTTAAATCACCGGAAAATAAACAGCTGTATAAAATAAGCTTATATACTGCATTATAAGGGTTGGATTGGCTATAATCATTTTAAATTTAAAGCAAAGGTAAACAGACCTCCTTCACTGCTCATGAAGAAAGGCAATTCTGTATGATTGATGTATTTTTGCCCTGAAGCATTTTTAGGTGCATAGTTGTCTAGATTTATCTGTCTGCATTTTGTTTATTTAGGTACCTACAAAATAAAAGTGTGAATACAATGTATGTATATCCTATAGTGATCCTATATCAGGTGATCCTGCGGCATGCTGGGAAAAATATGTATGTACATGGTAAAACGTCTTTCAGGTGAATGTTCTGTTTTTATATAAAATGGCTTCAGGCATAAACTGCAGACAGGGATCTGAATCCTCCACCTCACTGTAAAAGGGAAGGGAAACTTGCCATTGCGTTATATTATAACCCAGAGCGATTGTACTGCACGATCTGTGCTGCAGAATGACTATGCCAAATGTTTGTGGCTTTGGACTTTTTGTATAAGATTGTTCTTGGCTTATAAGGTGCAGTAGCTTCATAAAACTGATTGCTCAAATGCTGAACAGGCTTTGAAGGTAGTGTAGTGGCTGCAGGTTGATGCATGTCGAGCATAAAAATAAGCAAAGCTTCTACTAAAAGAAGTACCATTCATTTCAAGAATTCAAGGGTTTTGTGACATGTATGGTACACAATCACACTGTTACCTGTAGTGAAATATAAGGGAAAAAAAATAAAAAAAATAAAAAAATAAAAATATAAGGTGGTCAACTCCGTTACAATAATCAATACTTGACAGAAAGGAAACAATGCAATAAATGTAATAGATACGGAACAAAATCACCAGAGTTCAAATAAAGTGTGAGGTGCGTAAATAAGCAGCAAATGTTAAATTGTAACCATTGTTTTAGTATTTAGTAACCTGATGACTTGAGGGTAGAAGCTCCTTCTGAGCCTCTCAGTTCTCACTTTCCAGACCGCAGCCTGGTAAGGAGGTAGTTGGTGGTTGGGTGTGTTGTGCACTGCCGAATTTTGGCAACTCTGCTCCTTGCAACAATCCCAGCTGCCGCTGGGCCATAGTGCCTCCCAGCTTCAAAACTGGGCATCATAATAAGGGTTAATTTCATTATCATACCAGAATGTGAATCTCAACATGAAAAGATTTATGCCTTTACTAGAAATCTACACTATACCCACTGTGTTTTATATATTAAGCAAAGAGACAGACTGAGTTCATACATTAAAGTCGTGATGTAGTTCATTTTTTGTACAAAACTGTTTTCTGTAGCGTGTAGGCTTTATGAATTTTATAAGTCACAAGGCAAAACACTTGTAATGAATTGGCAGTTTTTGCAACATGTACTCTGCAACAATTAAGCCCCAGAATAATGAATGGACACCCAAGAGAACTTCTACATCCAGTGTAAACATCTTCAACCCTGCCAAGTCCGTTACTCCAGAAAACCCACATCATCATTAAGAGCAAAGAGGAAATAGGAGATGACAAGAGCCCTTCATATAATTCATCATTTGTATTCATATCAGGCTAAGACTTCCTATTGCCATGGATCCAGCCTTTTGGAAAAGGATATTTAGTAATTTAATGCCAAGTAGTACAACTATTCTATCTCACTCATCAAATCCCTTAGGCATTTTTCCAGATATATTTAGTTTAATATGAATTTATACATCTGCACAAGCACTAAGCAGCTTTTTCTTTTGATATAAGAAGTTACTCTTGGAAACTTCTCGTATAAAAATGTCGAGTTAATTTATTGGCCAGCGAAGTGGTTAGTACTGTCACTTAACACCTGCGTGACCAAGGACTGAGTCTCCCATTTGTGTGTGGAGTTTGCACGCTGCCCCCATGTCGTCATGCGGTTTCCATCGGGTTCTTCAGTTTACACTAAGGTGCATTGGAGCCGCAACACTGTCCGTAGGCGTGAACGTGAGCGCCCCCTGTGGTACATTGGTGTCCCATCCTAGGTTATTCCCTGCCTTGTGCACGCAGCTCCAGACATCCAGACATCTGCTACCCCAAATAGGACAAGCAGATACATAAGATGGATGAGTTCATATTTCACTTCAAATTTTTTTTTAATATATTGTATATTGCTCTACCAATCACTGAACTGGAGTCGCCTGAAAGAGTACAATTTCACAGTTGTACAAGTCATATACAAGGAATGTGGTATGACAAGATAGGATTATGAACCATAATTATGCTGATACATGCTGTTCCTGTCTTATAAAATACCTTCTTCATTCATCTCCTTGTGTCCAGCTGGAGTCACAGTGATCCAGGGTAAATCAGTGTGAGAGCAGAGCACTAAGCAGACACACATTATCCATATATTCACAGCTGTCACACGTGTCTCTGTGCACCCAAATAAATCCCACAGACATGGAATATACAGACCCTGCTGCAGCAAAGTTTGGCCGACATGTTACCAAGCTGCACTGGTCGCTGTGAGCCAGCAGAACTTACCAACAAGCAGTTTTCAACATGAACTACATTTTCATGAAACAAAGTAACTCTGATAATATCAGCAGCAAGTCGTACCACCGGCGCCCCTCGCAGGAGACAAAGTGAAACTGGCTGACTTAATCAGTGCCCCACAGATAATTAAATCTGATGTAACCTGTGGTTATACCATTCATATTGTAGCAAATTCACAAACCAAATACATTTCAACCAAGGAAACCTCAATAGATAGTTGACATGAGTGTTTATTTGGTAAAACAATTTAAATGAGTATGTGAACAGTGATTTGGCGAAGCCCGTCTCTTGGTCGTCGGTTCCATCAACTCTGAAGCCGACAGACCTGGATGGGCGACCAGGCAGGAGGCGAAGGAGCCAAACCCCGGACCAGGACGGGGAGCCGAAGGTGGTGGAGGGGAGGAGGCGGGCAAACGGAATAGCTGTAATGGCAAAGAAGTGGGTTAGACTTACTCTTTATATAGAACCTGGATCGCTGTGATTGGACACGCTGGCATTCATTAGGTCTCCTTGTTTGAACTTTTGTATTCACTTTCATTTATCTTTTACATTAATTCTTTCTAGATTTAACTGTTTTAAGATTCAAGATTCATTTGCTTTTTGTAGGCTACATCATTACATAGAAATTCTTACATGCCCTACCCAGTCAGTAACATGAAACTTAATTATAATTATCTATCGATAGCACAAAACAAGGTAAAAGCTGTCATAAAACATCAAAGTAGACATATTAGCCTGACTAGGCAATACCGGTCGGAGCCCACGTGGGGACTGATGTAGGCTTCACTGCCGGCGCCGGCAGGTTGCTAAGTCGGCGCCGCCTAAGAAGACGGTGCCCTAAGCGACCGCCTATAAGATTGACTAGGAATGACTGTGGCAGTCTACGTATTTATAGAATAAATATGAAGTAAATATAAGAAATGGCTATAAATTAAATAAATGGCTGAAATAGGAAATATATCTGAGTAATATGCAATTCGCAGTACAGCCTGGCCCAGGAAACTACCATTTAAACTTACCATTTAAGTAGAAGTGATTAATTGTCGTTATTGACACAACACGGCACACAACAAAATGTGTCCTCTGCATTTCAGCCATACGGGACATAAGAGTAGCAGCTAATACAGCAGCTGGGGAGCACTGCATGGGGCCACTGCATGGGGGCACTGCATGGGGGCATACCTTGCTGGTCAGGGATTCAAACCAGCAACCTTTCAATCACAAGTGCACTGCACTGCAAATACTTCACAGTACCTGCAAATACAAATACTTAATAATAACTAAGTTACTATTGAAGTACAAATCATGAACAAATATAGTACATACTTAACATAAAAGTTGCCTAACGATGAACAAACATATCAGTATTTCACTTGTGCTATTCATTGTTCCTTAAGTGGTTCATTCAGTAGTACACAAAGACTTACAGAGTTAACAGACATAGTAACAAATATAGTAATTACTTGGGATAAAAGACGCGTCACGATTCATTAATCAGTATGTAACTAAGATTTAGCTTGTGGTTAATACCTAAATAATAGCATAATACTACATTACGAGTATTTGTGCCCCCTCAAGTAAAGTGTTACCGAGTTACCGTATAGCTGAAGAGTAAAAACTGTTTTATATCGGTAGGTGACAGTTATAACATGTTGTTATATATTCGCAGTTAGGGGAACTATAAGCGAACAGGCTGAGTCGGGCAGCGCAGCGCTGCGCCAGTCCTGTTTCCACAACGGCTGTTGTAGCCTACTTGGACTGTCATCTGCCAGTAACAGAATATATATTGCAAAATATATATTAGTAAACAGATGTATTACAGCACGACAATGTGTTTCTGCAACAATCACAGTTAGAGCATTAAATTTTACTCCGGAAATTAGAATTCAAAGATTTAGGCGGCGACAGACGCACTTGGCGGTGACAGAAACACGTTTCATGTTTCCACTTTATTGCAGAACACATCTGTTAGTAGTTCAAACACCAATATTTTAAATAAACACCACATTTCCTATTCAGTTGTAACAATGTCACAATAAAGAGTTCCCAAGAAGGACTGACTTTGGGGATCATTTGTGGTATGGGAAGCGACTTGGAGGAAGGCAGTCCTTCCCCTAAATTCAAGGGGCTGAGAAGATGAAAGGCGGAGCTGCACACAAGTTAGGAGAGACAACTCATGCAGGTCCTTTGTAACGTGCGGAAAACCCTGGAGCAGCGCACCTCCAGAGGGAGATACAAAGTGTCGAGAAAAGCCAGTCGTCCTGTAAGTGATTAAGGATGAGTTAATCGCAATTTTATTGTCATTTTTATGAGAACCGATTTCAGTTAAATTGGTTTATGCTGAGCAGCTCGGGCTGTCAACGACATGTAGGTGTCAATGTTGTCGAGTAAGTTAATACAATAACTGTAATTTAAGATGACGAACAGCACCGGGGCACATAGGACTAAAGACCCAACCATACCTTGTATTATGTTTATTCTCGGAGTGGTCGGTAACGTGATCGCTATTGTCGTGCTTTGCAAGTCAAGAAGGGAGCAAAAAGAGACCACGTTTTATACCTTGGTTTGTGGACTGGCGATTACTGACCTTTTGGGAACTTTGCTTGCAAGTCCGGTGACCATAGCCACTTATATGAAGGGCTCTTGGCCTGGGGGAGACCCGCTCTGCCAGTACTTCGGCATCATCCTTCTCTTCTTCTCTTTGGCCGGACTCAGCATAATCTGTGCCATGTCGATCGAAAGGTACATGGCTATTAACCACGCGTACTTCTACAACCATTACGTGGACCAGAGACTGGCGGGCTTAACCCTCTTAACCATCTACATCGTCAGCATTTCATTTTGCGCTTTACCCAGCATGGGTCTGGGTGAGGTGAAGAAGCAGCATCCGCAGACTTGGTGCTTCATTGACTGGCGGAGTAACGTCAGCAGGCACGCCGCCTTCTCCTACATGTATGCGGGCTTCAGCTCTTTTCTCATCCTGGCCACGGTGATCTGCAACGCCTTGGTCAGCAGCGCTCTGATCAGGATGCACAGGAGGTTTGTCCGCAGGACGTCTCTCGGAAAGGAGCAGGGAGAAAGTACCGACCTTCGCAGACGGCGTAGCTTTCGGCGGATGGCAGGCGCCGAGATTCAGATGGTCATTTTATTAATAGCCACGTCTGCCGTGATACTCATTTGCTCTATTCCACTTGTGGTAAGTTGTTTTTCGGTTCTGATGTTCTGCTTTTTATTTTATTTTGCCATTTGGTAGTTTTTTGCATTTAGAATTTTTTTATACCAAATTAGCATAGTTTAATTAACCATTGAGAATATCAGACTGTGGATTACAGATACATCAGGCTTACTTAATAAATAATAAACAGTAAGTCTTAAGCTTTTCACTATTCTTACATGTACGTCTATATGTTTTTATATAAACGTAAACAAGTCAATATCGTCAGTGCACAAGTTCAGCTTAATTGTTGGAACCATATAAAGTATTTAATGTATGAAAGGCTTGAAGTCGGTCTCCTCGTTTTGATTATTGTAGATAAGACTTGTTAAAGCTTTCCAAGTATTTTTTCGGGAATAATGACATATTTTTGTGAACGCTTGTTTGTCTCTGCGAACATAAACGGCAGGCAACCAGCATGTTCAGACAGGTGACTGGCATTCTTAACGCAGCTAATGCGATTATGCTTTTTCACGAGTCATAAAAGTCACAGCATATAAGTCCCTTATCTTAACTTATAGGCCTAACACAACGCAGTGCATTTGGGGAAAATAAGGCATGATCCAGTTTACCGATGTCCTTAAGTGAGTGGATTGATTTCATGTGGCCAACCGTGTTATTTATGGAAATATAGGCCTATTATTAAATGTTTTGAGTCCACACGTAGTTTAACGAAACGCCACGTTTGTGATAGGCCTAAATATTTGCTTAATAAAAATGAACACCGTTTGATTTTTCAGTTATGCACCTTTTTCCACTGAACCTCAGAAGCAATACATTCGCACATATAGGCCTACCTAATTTTTATGAAATAATATAAATTTCAAAACTTATGTTGGCGACTTTCAGCTTCGGATGTTTTTCTAAGCATCTGCGTTAAAAGGTTTAAATAGGCTTAGCAATATTTTTGTACATTGCAATAGCTGAATTGACTGCTTTATATTAAGTAGCCTATTAATGGAAAAATGATATACGCAGCGACCGCCATTTCACGGGACGTAGGCCTATAATAAATCATTGGGATCCGAAAAGGTGGGGAAAGTTGACGTGTTTTTTTTCGTAGTGCAGCCACAATCTGGAATGTAAATTATGCTACATCCATTTTAACACCTGGATGTTAAGGTGCCTGAAGCCAGTGGTTCTCAATCTGTGGGTCGCAAATAGGCCTAATTAGGGGGGNGGGGGGATTCTCGCAATATGCTAAAAAAGAAAGAAAAAAAAAACGTTAACAATCGGGCACCGGCAGACGGCTCGGAAAATTTTGGTGAATCCATTTGTTGAATCTTACAATCGGTAGATTTCGGCAAATTTTATCATAATCGGTAGATTTTACCTAGCCGGTATGCCACGATATCCACGACCCTCTTACAAAAAGTTTGAGAATCACTGCCTTAATCTGTTTGGTGGTCAGTGTTATTGAAAATGTACCTTTAACATCCTGTTTGATCTCACCAATTACGCAATTCGGATTTTTAAGTAAGTGGTTTTCAGTGTTATTAATAATTGCCAATTTAAGAATACTAATCAATAAAAAAAATGAAAATATGATTGTCCAATTAAAATCGTATTTTAATTTAATTTAATATATGAGGATAGAAGCCGAACTTGTAGGGGTATGTGCATGGGCGTAAATTACGGGGGGGTGGGGGGGGTAGTAGCCCCCCCCAATAAATCAAAACCAGCTAATACAACCCCCCAAATAACCATGTTTCCCTCGTAATGGGTGGAGACCTCAATCCCCCCCAATGTTCCACCCAAAGTTACGCCCTTGGGTATGTGTTTAGTTGGGTGTTCTCCAAAATGCATAAATATTAGGTAATAGACTTTATGTAAGCGACAACTCAAACCGTAACGAAATCCTGTGCAACACCGTCGGTTTTATAATTAGAAAGTCATTTGCACACAAAACAGCAGCATTATACCGAATGGTTCTGAAATATTAACGGCGTTCGGGCTGTGCAGGTGTGTCTCGGACATGTTCTAGTTGCCTTCAGAGCTGCCATGATATGCACTATTTCTCCGGTTAGTCTGGTGTGACACCTTATGAAGTGACTGAGTGTTGTGATCTGAAAATGCACCTATAACACACTTTTAATGTAATTCAACTGGGGGAAAATTTTATCAGCCTCTTGTATAAATTGAACATCAAGATTGGATATTCTATAGTGCCTTAGTTTTTTGTAAACAGCTTGCATAAATGTTGCAATGTTTGTGCAATTGCATTGCGCTATAATTGCGCAAACATTGCAACAGTTAAACACTACCGTACTACATCACAGTGATCTCAGCAGAGTGCACACAGTGCTCCACTCCTGTTTTTTTTTTGTTTTTTTTTGCATTAGCTTTTGTCTAAGTAACTAACTAACAAAGAAATTCATTGCAGGGCAGTACATATACACTGTAAGCTAGTGAACCGGGTAACCAAAAATCGTTTATGCTGAGCCATGTGATTTGTTGATGCAGCAAGATTCAAATAGTGCTTATGAAGTTATTGTTCATTTCATTAACTTGTGCAATCCAAACATGTTACCTGGGTTTTTCTGGTCAGGTGCAGGTATTTGTGAACCAGCTGTACCAGCCACAGGTGGAGATAAGGTTGGAGAAGAACCCTGATCTGCTAGCCATCCGCTTTGCCTCTGTCAACCCCATCCTGGACCCCTGGATCTACATCTTGCTGCGAAAGACTGTACTCCTCAAGGTCAAAGAGAAGATCAAGTGGCTCTTCTGCAAAATCGGCAGCCGTCACAAGCAGCAGCATCGGGATGGTGCCCACTGCATGGATGGACATCACCTCTCCTCCATTGGTTCACGCAGCTCCTCCCTACTGGTGTCCCAGAGAGAACGGAAGGCGTCCTCCAGCACTTCACAGACGTTCCTCTATATCTCTGATAATAGCCACAGCTTCTCCTCTAGCAGCTTCAAGATCGGTCAGGTGGGCTCTGCCTTTTCAGTGTTTCAGTCGTGAATGCAAAGTCACAAGGACTCTGTACCCCCAGCATCTCAGGGAATATGCATTGTTACCAGTCGGACATCAGATTCAGAAAGCATGGTTCCTGAAATGAGTAAAACCTAAACAGACTCCAGAAACTTGGAAGAGTGCTTCTTCATATCAGCAACTGCTTGGTGAACTCACAAGAAAGATGTGGTTGGAGATATAGTATGTGCGATGAGGAAAGGGAACTGGCAGTTTGGGATGGTGCAGTGGCAATCCTTGAGGATGACATGAGAGCATCGGGAGTCCCTCAGACACATAACCATGGTGATGGTCAGCATCTCACGTAAGACATGATACCTCCGTGAGGTTTAAGGAGGAGAAGCTTTGAGCATCTTTCAGTCTCATGTTGTCTAAAAGGGTACCGTGTGTGAACGGAAATGAGGAGACCCCTTCTCATGTTCAGATCCCGTGCCGAAAATTTCTTTCAGTAGAGTAGCAGACGATACAACAGTTAATGTTACACTGTTCATATATCAATTTTTGCATGCCTTATGTTTATTGTAAAATATCAAAAAGTTATATGGTGTCTACATGATACGTCTAAAAACAACATAAAATGTGTACAATGTGAAGTCAGACTGTAGGCTTCTGCTGATTGAATAAGTAAAACACAAAAGAAAATCCCATCATTGGCCTGATTATGACATTCACGTCCTTAAGGACCCTAAATAGCAGAATGAGTCACGCTAAGGAGCTGCAAACGCTGCCCCCGCTGATTGGAACCCCAGGCATTTACATAACCAATGGAAACACTTCCACCACTGGCCAGTCAGCACCTCATGGTGCGTTTGATTATCTCTCGGAAGTCGGAAATTCCGAGGTGCGTGATGTCATGTCCGACCAATCTCCCGTTTGAGCTACACATCTCGGAACAAACATGGCTGCCTCCATGAACACGCTGTTGTGTGTTGTTGCTTTATATTTTAGCAGATTTGGAGTGAGATTCTTTTTTCCAAGAGACAAACAAACAAGAAACACGAACTAGTCAAACCACATTCAAAGCTTTATAAGATATTTGAGTAGATACATAGCGATATTCTTTTTTTGAACGGCAAACAAACTATAAATGTACTATAACTATAAATTATAAATTACATTTATAACTATTGATACATTTAACAAAGTAAACATTTTTTAATATTTATAAAACAGAATTACTGTTGACTGTGTAAGCCACCATGTTGAAATGACGTCACAGGGGAATCTCGGACAACAAAATTCTGTCCGACATCAACGTCGGAAAAGAGGCGTGTTTCCGACCGGACATGACATTTTTCATGACGTTTTTATCCGAGTTCCGACTCGGAGAGAGATAATTGAACACAGTGGGGCAGGATGGTACAACTCCCACCCGCAGCCGCGACAGAGCCAATCAGTATGTGATACACCAGCGTTTTATACAGTGGCACGTTTTACCATCAATGAAAGTATTAAAGCATGGCTTGAATAACTATTCCACTATACAAATGTAAAACTATAAAATGAAAAAGTGATGTCTGCTAAGCCATTAAACAATATAATATGTCTTTTATAAATTATGATGAAAATATTTGTATAAATTCTGTCTGATGGTAAGAATAGACATTTGGAAATATATTTGGGGAAAAAAGAATACAATTATCAGACTTTTCTCTGCAGGCACGTTTTTCCAAACATTAGTATGATCTGTGAACTCATCTGTTTATCTGCTGAAGATACTTTCCTTTTCCTCAGTCAAGGTGTTACAAGAATTCTAGGAAAGTGCAAAAATGATTTGGCTCAGAATTTTAGTCAGTATTATATTTTTGCTAATCAATATTTTCATTACTCTTCAAACAATAATTTAAAGTTTAATACATTTTTTAAAAGTTTAGATTTGTTATATAAAAGTAAAAGGAAAGATAATAAAATGTTGCCTTCAATACTACCTACTTTTATTTAAATAAACCGTTTGTTACACAGAATATATCTGTATTGATTTTTCCCATCAACCTTGCTCAGGATAAGTAATCATCAAATTCCTGAGAACTGGGTTTGTTTAAACTGTAAAGTTTCATTATTGAAAATACCAAGAATAAATAAATAGCACAATTTTTTTTTATTTCAATTCAGAAGAACACTACAACTTTGTGCATTATTACTATAAGGTGTCTAGTGTTACTGGATCTAGTCTTTCTGTCTATATATCTAACTCAATACTGAGTGACCTGCATTCCACATCCATCCTCTAACCTGCTTCTAACCATGGATCCTGGTCATGGTCATGGGGTGCAATCGTCTATCACCACCATCATCTTCTTCTGCTGAGGGTCATTGGGCTGCATGAAACAACCACACTGTTATTTTACCTGCCTTCCACGCAACATTGAAGAGACATGTCAACCATGTCCAACAACATCCAGTGCTTTCATTAGCTCCCAGTGGATATTCACCTGTCCTGGAAGCCCTTCCACCACAGAGGCTTCTGACCACCATAGACGCTTCAGCTGCTTGAATACTTTTTATTGCAGCTGGAAACAAAGTGTGATTTCCGCTGCTTGAAAACTTCCACTGAATTGGTCAGCACTCCTGCTGAACACAACCTGAGCAAGGTCCTTTCTACACCTCCGTAGCAATCAAATAGCTTGCAAAACATCTTCGGGGCCACCCAATACTTTTTGTCCATCTCCCTTTCAAACTCCTCCCATGTGCTACTGTTCACCTCAGAAACTGCCTTGGTAACAGCACTTCTAAGCTTGTCCGTACCTGTCGAGTCTCTCAGGACGCCCCCTTGTAAGCTTTGCCCAGAAGGCCTCCTTTTCCAGCTTAACAGCTTCTCTTACTGCTGGTATCCGCCACTGGTTCACAGAATTACGGTATTGCTCCAACTGCCTTCTAGCCACAACACAGCACAAGATTTGAATTCATCTCAGTTTCAGCCGGATGTACCCAGCAAAATTAGCCTGCTCGTCTCGTCCTGGTTCACCTGGCCTGCTTCCTCTGCTCCGAATCCAACTCATTACCTAATGCCGAACCGTTGATAGCCCTTTCTTCACCTGAGGCCGTTCTTCCCAATCACGCCTCTTGTGGGATCTTCATCAATGCCGTTGTATTACAGAGTCTGTAGGATTCACCCTTTCAAGCTCTTCAGACACTTTCTCGCTCGTTTCTCTTAACTGCTGTTCTACGCAAACACACAGAACAACATTGAAAGTTCTCTGTGCAACTCACAGTCAAACCTGATCCAAAGTGGGGAAAAGACTCCTCATAAACTTATTCACATTTATGTATTTGGCAGATGTGTTACGGGCAGTAACGTCTAACTTAGGGACAACTCGTACTTACATACGGACTACCGTGAAGTCTGTAACAGGGACAGGCAACCCTGATTCTGGAGTGCAAGTGTCCTGCAGGTTTTCTATCCTACCTGGTCACTGATGAACCACACCTGATCTCACGCAGATAGTAACCCATCAGGTAGGATAGAAAACCTGCTGGATGCTGACACTCCAGGATCATGGCTGCCTACCCCAGGTCATTATATAAAAAATTTGGGTTAAAAACAATGGTTTGTGATAATGAATGCACACACTACTTTGTGATGCTCATGAAAATATTGCGCGGCTGTTAGTCAATTCAAGGTACTTTTATTATTACTGTATAATTATTATTTCTGTATAATATTATTTTTCAGAATTAGCTACAAATCTGAGTTACAGACGGACTTAGAGAATTGATCTTGTTCGTAAGATGGGGGAGAAAGGAAGGTCAGCTGGTCTCTGGAGCAGTTGAGGCTAGATCTCGCTGATCTTGCTGATGGGCCCAGTTGTGAAATCGCCCTATTGACCCAGGCTCCATGAAATGGCCACCAGCACCTTAACTGACTGAGTCCCCACCCCCAAAATGTTTAGTTTTCTTATATGTCATCTTATGCCTCCATGAGACAAACCTGCACACAGGTGGGGACAGAACACAGGGTCAGCCATCGATATGGCAGCCTGGCAGCGTTTTTAATGGGTGAAGGATGTTGCTCAAGGGTCCAACCATTAACTGATCAACCATCCACAGGATTCAAACTTGTGACCTTCCAAGCACAGGCACAGAGTCAAAACCAGCAGAGTCACGCCACTCGGTCACGCACAGTGTTATGGTAACACCCACTTTTAGCATAACAACAACACTCTAATAACATCTGCCTGCTATGACACTTATCACCAGTAAATTTAAGACAATAATTTATTTAGAACTTGTAAGCATTGAACCCTGTGGTACTTGTTTGGAGATGATGTCACTTTAATTTAGTCAATCCTGTTTTGATAGCCGGTTTTGTAACCTTTGTTGCCACATTCCTTTGTTGCCACATTCCTTTGTTTTAAGAGCAGCCTTTTAATTAGAAGTTTATTAATCATGTCGAATCACTGCTTCCACATAACCAATCTATTGTTTTAATTCACGGAAGAGAGAATTTCTGGCCACAACAGGTCATTGCATAGCATTCATATACTCTTCAGAGAAAATTTCACTGTGAAAATCTTGCAGTGAAAGGACTGTTTTACGCTGCTGCTCAGCTGTCAGGGCGGTGTTTTCTTTGGTAAGTCCTCTGTGAGATTCCAGTGGGATGGTTTCTGTCTGATGGGAAAGCCATTTACCACAAACTTAGCAAGTAAGCTGGTGTCTGTGTCCATCTTTCAACATCCTTCTCTTTAGTCCTCTCAAATGATGATCCATGAAATAGGGGCATTTTGCAAAGGTACCTTTTTCCAGAAGAAGGAGAAAGCATAACCACTTTCTCCCATTGTCCCCAGCAGCCTGGTGAAAGACACACACTGCAGCAAAGCAGTTATTATAAATGAAGCGTCACAAAGCTCGTCACACTGACCATTTCAAAGAGCCCCGCTGGTCCTTTTCAAGTCACCCGGAAATTTTGCCAACATCCTGGGAACCATCAAGTGCAAAAAAAGTTTTCTCAGGTCTATCTCATCCAGCAAAAACTAGCTGAAGTGGCATGAAAGAGATGATTTTACCAGACATCTTAACGACGTTGATATTAGGTTAAAAATTGAAAGGTGAAAAGCCGTCTTTTTCAGGTTGTTGAAAATCCATCAGGTCGCTTGGGGAGCATGCGCTGATGTAGCATGTCGCCACACCCACCAAAGAGCAAAACTCCTCAGGATCCCGGCCAGCAATCCCTCAAGCAGATACACGGTCCAGTCCCACCCTTCGGAAGTGGCCATCCATCTGCCGCAGCCAGGTGTTACGTGGGCGTCCCCTTGGCCTGGTCCAGCCGCTCGGGTCCTAAGCAATGAGGATCCTGTGAGCCGGATCACACTCAGGGAAACGCGCCACATGGCCGTAGTGTTGTAAGTGATGCTCCCTCACAATGAAGGTTATGTGCCTCATTTGGGACTCCTCAGGCAACCGTTCATTCGACACAAAGTCAAACCAGTGGAACCCAAGGATTCTCTGAGAAGACACAGTACCGAAGGAGCCCAGTCTTCATCTCAGCTCACTGGATAGCGTCCAAGTCTCACAGCCATACAGCAAGACAGGGAGCACCAGGACCCTGGATCTTCGGGAACATCACACACCCCTTTACAGCGACCTCATGACCCCCTATGCTCTTCCAATCCATCTGCTGACTTCATAGGAAGAGTCACCAGAGACATGAATGTCACTTCCGAGGTAGGTAAATCTCTCAAAAAGGTTGACATTCTCCCCAAGTCATGTGCTACTACTCCTCTCTATAATATCCTGGGTGCCCTGCAAGATGAAACACCTCCTTCTGGGAACACCGGCAACACCAACACAACCCTCTGCAACCTTCAGGGTTTTGTCACGGAAGGTCTCCCACATCATATTAGAGTCAGCAGTCGCACCCAAGTCTGCAAGTTCTTCACACAAATTGCATAAAAATTCAGCCAGACCCTATTAGCTCTCCAACGGTTTCGACTTGTCCGGGAATGGGGCTCCCGAAAGCTTTCCCCCTTCCCCTTCATGGTGCATGCAGCCTTCCTGCAGGCAGCTGCAGCAGAAATACTCCTGCGGAGAGCAGAAGGGTATCATGCTTGTTTGTATTGAGTTGTGAGTTGTTTTACGGTGGCTGGAGTGCCCATCTCGCCACAAAACCCCTGAAAATTTGTTTCCCTGCAAGTTGGAGGATCACTTGCAGGGCCGGATGCAGTTTAACGTCATACCCAGGACATTAACATTATAAACATTGTTATCATTATTATAGTATTGCTATCATTGCTTTATAGGCATTGGTTGTTTTTGCGTGTGACATGTCTAAAGAGGACAGAAGCGCAAAAAGGACGTGCAAAAGGGGCTGGAAAACTGGACTGTCCGCCCAAAACCGGATATATGATCACTCTAACACAAATTCTTTTGGTTTCATCATGCTTAAAAAATAAACAATCAATTGATTCTATATGCAATAGTTTAGTCTCTATGAAACTGATTTCAACATCAGCACAATAATGTAGCTCCAGGCAATTTTATCCATTTCATAATGGAAGACGGAATGGATTCAGTGATTGTGAAAATGTGGTGCATTGTGCAAACAAATCTTTGTTTGGCTAGAAGTATGCCCAATTTACCTTGGCAAAAGATTACTGATGCATTCAGCATAATACCGTTTGATGTGAAAATTACCCAAATTGCATTCTTAGGAGTGTATCTAAATGTACAGTTTATGTAATGGCGAGTTCTTACTATACTTCACGTTATTATAAATGTAACTTTGCCATCGCAATCAGAAATGGCCATATGGATGTGTTTCATTTGACTGATGCAGGACACTCACATCAGGCTACTTAAATATGACACTTGCCCAAAGCTTTTCTCCCTCTCACCATTCTGCCAAGTCCTCATTGCTCCAAGCACTTAGACTAGATGGTATCACTATGCACTATATCGGCAGGAACACTCATAGTCCAGGCATCACTGTTGACAACAAGCTCCTCTCTATGGTTAGCAAGACAGCAATGTTCAGTACATTTTAGATTGTCAGCGTTAAGGAGGCATTAAGAGGAAACACCTTAATGGAAGTGCTTCTCCCCTAACATTATTTGTTTAGCACAACAGAAAACAGAAGAGAGAGAAAAGAAGAGAAAGCTAACATGTTCCAGC